CGCTTTGCTAAATGCACATCTTTTTGCTATCCAAATTGAGTGGAATGATATGTTTTTGGACTTATTATGAAAAATGTCTATTCTGTGACAATCCTCCCATATACATGACACAATACAATACTTATAAATTAAGTATATGGTCACAATATATCCATTTAACATTTTGAGTTGATAGACGAAAAACTTCTTTCACCATAGGATTACCTACTAGATGACTGTATAGGATATTCTCTATACATCATTCACATTATTATTATTTTAACATTGATAGTCATTTTTCGGAAAATTAACTCTGCCATACATAAAATTGAATAATAGTTGGATTAGCTTAAATGTTCTTGGGATATTATATGTTGGTATGTGAAAGAGACCATGTATTTCCAATTTTATATTCAATAAATCTATTAACGCCAGCATTGTTGTTGGTTGTCGTCGTTGCTGTTGAATATGAGGTTGGTAGAATGACTTTACATTCAATCCAAGGCGGTGAATATTTCTTGTTTTGTTGTTTATTGAAATCAAAAATTCCCACATGACTGATCCAATCAATGTGATATTAATTGTTTCTTGCACATGGAAAAAGGCGAAATGGTGGCAACATCAAATCTTTTTTGCGAATGAAATTTTTACTTTTTATCGAATTTAATCGAGAGTTTGAAACCAAACCGAAAAGTACATCACTGTGTTTGCCCCAAAGGCCGGGGCCTAGCACTTAACAAGTGCAAAGTTTATTACGTTTGCACAAAGTGGGTGTATATTAAGATTGAAATAACAAAAGAAAACATCGAACATATTTTAAAGCATCTTGATTATTCCATTTTGTTCACATTTTTTTTATACATTCCTGTATAGACCTCTAGAATAGAAAAACAGACACGAAAATGAAAAAATTGTTCTTACAAAATGAAAGTCACAAATCAATTTACAACTTTATTCAATGATTTGACCTAACTTTCAGCCGAATGTGAATCCCGAAAATGTGTTGATTACTCAAAAATGATTCGGAATTAGATAAATCATTGTGTGCTTACGGATGAAAACATTGAAATGCTGAAACCAACCACTATACAACGATTTTGAAATGGTGAATAACACTAAGGTCCAAAAGACTATTTTTGCCATCAATTGAATGATTCACACGACAAAATGAATTGCAAACATTTGAATCGAGATAATCTGAGTACATTCCATCCGGGCATTAAATTGGATTGTGCACCCGTTTCTATATTCATAACCTCAAGTTTCATTCAGCAATTGGGTCAATATCGTAATACAAATAAGCTCATGGTCAATATTGTTTTAATACATAGGCTCGAAAGATAAAAAAAAATTCCAGCACCAACAAAATGAAATTTCCACGATATAATCATATTTTTTGGTTATCTGCTAGGTTCTCTGTCGCTATTTCTGAAATTTGTATAAGTTTTCCGGAACACGCAGTCAGCTGAAGTGAATGATTAAATTTGCACACACGTTTGAATGAACAAATTTACCGGATGGCATCTTTAGATGAATATTCACCATGATGATTGATGTTCTTATGATAATGATGATTCATTGCATTAGTTTATTCTCTTTGAGAGGTCGCAACGATTCATTCATAGTGGATTTTTAAGTATATATGTCTATCATTCGCTCCGCTTTCCTTAATATTCATCATTTAGCTGGCACGTGTGGTTTTCACTGATTTTCGTTCTCAATCAAATTCGCAAGAAAATGCAAAACTCTAAACAAAAGGTTGAAGTAGAAAGACGAAAAAATCGAAATCGTTATTAAAACCGTTATATGGTAACCCATTTGAACCATCGCGGTGCATGTATCGATTTACCGAAGCAGCATCTTGAATTTTCTATAATCATACAAAATCGGTTCATTGCTTGTGACTAAAGATCAAAATGACGAACTACATGTTTCCAATTGCTTTCAAGGTTTTTCGCACACGCTAAAATTAAACTAAAATTAATGTAAAACTTGAAACTCTTTCGATAGAGTCATTGAAGTGTACATTAACAAGTTTAATATCTAATTATTTCCAATATCATTAACATTTATTGTTATTTCAATTTCAAATACCTACCACGCCAATTAAATTGATTACACTGTTAAACGGTAAACCAACTGAACTGCCATATTCAAAATAATTCCAAGCAATCATTATTCTGACAAACATTTATTGAATCGTCCAACTCATAGACTTGACATACTCAGAACAAAAATAAAGTTTGAAATTAAAAGAAATGCTTTTCCAATTCCAATAATAAAATAACGTATAGATGAAACGATTATTTAAAGCATTCAAAAGCATTTTCTAATGTTTCATTATATCTATTGAATAAAACGATAGGAGAGAACAGAGCATATATTAAGCATAGATATATATCCTGGATATTTTTTCAGCCAGACTTTGAAATAGAGTAAAAACAATAGAAGTTATTGTTATAGTGATTGTAGTAATGTAAATGGTTTTATACTTAGACCTATATCAATCACTTCTATTGTTTTCACTCCATTATAATGTCTGGCTGCGATAAATATCGGATACTCACAAAATATCCCGGATATATATCTATGCTCAGTATATGCTCTGGGAGAGAATAACACAATCATCGTTATATTCAATAGATGAAAGAATAGTCAACTGTCATCTAGGATGTTGCTGAAAGATTTAAGGGGGTTCACCCTTCTTTACACCATCAGTATCCATGAACGATAGAAATACCATTCCGAATGGCAGCACTTTATTCAAATGGTAATGGTTAATGTATCCTACATTATTTCATCACTTCTCCATCTCATTAAGCTCAAAATAGACATGGTTATGAAATGCAATAAACTCATCGATTTTCCCATTTTCGTTGCCATTTTAACTTTTCGTCTGTCTTTGAATCAAGCATGATAGTGGCATAACATTTTAGCATCGAGGTCATTTCTAAGATGAGGACATGATAATTGTTGCCCATTGGAAGCAATATTTTGCTATGCATTCTTCTCACAAATTTGACCATAATGAACCACATCGATGTGTGGTCATTATTCATACAAACCCACAAACAATTTTAATTGACCCGAAAGCGTTGAACGAATGCCTTTCAGTTTATTTGCTGAGTTTCTTTCTTTATTCCATTACAAAAATTGACCGCAGAGAAAATTTGTTGAAAACTTTTCACTTTTGGTCTGACCACAATTACAAAATACACACATTGAGTTAACATGAAACAAACATTTTGCCAACGATTGTGCATAAGTCGTACGCTATTACGTGTGTATGTCGGTTTGAGCCTTGAAGTTTTTCATCGAATAACAGCAAACCGAAAAAATACTTTGTAAATTATTTAAATGGTTTACCTATCTTTGGAGTATTGCAAGAAAAGTTCCGGATGCGGTTGGATAATAATTTCAACGTCCAACTATTCAAAGCATCGATTCATGCACCTGAGATGTGAAAAATAAATATTTATTTTCCAGAGAATAAGATAAGGATGCTGTTCATCAGTTGAATTTACCATTTAAAGTGTGTATTGTATTTCATGGAGTTATACAATTTTTCATCATTACACTTTTGAATGTGTTGCCCTTTTTTATTTCGTCGCGATTGACTGTGCAAAAATTCGAACAATTTCACACAAATGAATGAAATGGCAAGGAAAAAACTGGAAAAACTTTTTTTGATATCATGTATTAAAAAACAAAATTCATCACATATTCGAGTAAAAAAACGAATAATACACTATTTTAAAATACTGTCAAATGAATACGGAGACAATGACTATGCATATGACTATGGCAAAAGATGAAATCAATTTTTGCTAGAATTTCGATTGTATGTGGCTGAAAATATTTTGTGGCCTGAACATAGGTGATGACGAGGGTTCCTAGGTGTCGGATGACCCCCCCCCCCCCC